AATTACAATTTTATTTGTAAAAAACAATTCGGTTGCTTTTTAAATGATACAATGCATAGAAAAATCTTAAGCTCATTTAATGTTGATATTGTTTTTGACAAATGGAGAATGCTTGAAGGTAGACAGCCAACAAACTTAGAAATATTTCCTTAGTTAAGATCAGCGAAGGTTTATTCGAATTATGCTAAAGTAATATCAGCCGAGTCCCAAAAAGCATTGTGATATACAATTTGGAAATAGAAATCTTATTTTGAAATATGATTCCTTCCTTTTTCTCTGCTACCAGTCAGCTATATCACATTGCCAATTACGGTCTAATAAATAAATTTAAGGCTTTATACGAAAAATCGTCAAAATGTGCTGAAGATACCGAGAGTTGTTTGGAGGAACAAAAATACGAATGGAATTTTGGCTATGTTAGTTATTCTGGCGAAACGGAGAGCCTTCTGGAAATGTTGTCATTACCCGGTCATGTATTGCATACAACACATTTTGCCTATTTGCCAAACACAGTCGACGTAACCCTAACAGCAAAAGAACCCTTCCATAATATATCCAATTGTTGCTTTAAATGTTTACCTGTTATAAAATTTCAGCTCGTTTTGAATCGTTTAAAAACAAATTGACTGATTTTCATCCAAACTTATCTCTTTTCTGCGCCTACGGTAATGATCTCAGCTGTTGTTTGTGTGCAAACATTACTTGTAACAACATTTATTTAGTTTATAAAACAGCAATTTTCTCGTTGTTTTCAATCTTTTTTTTTTTAATTTGCGCAGGGAATAAACTATTAATTCTTCTTATTGGTTAACTTCAAAAAATTAATTGACAGATCGCTGTACTATGAACATAAATTAGTTTAACAATGCATCTGCTCCTTTACGTCAAGTGATCATAATGATGATGGTGACGCTGTTAAGGTGCTAATAAAGCGTAACTATTAGTGATCTTTTATTGTTATTTGTCACAAATTTTTCAGCTTTCAAAAATTTTCAAACCAAGATGTTAGAAATGGAGAAAGGCTGTTCATCATCTGTTTTGGTATTCTATTCTTGCATTTGGCCTTTTAACTTCTATGAAAGAACAACAAAAACACAGTGCGCACAACTTTTTGTAAAGTCTTCAGCCTTAAAACTTATTTTAAGTCTCTATTTTATGCTACTTTTTTTACACTTTAAGTTCTATTAGGGCTTTAACAAAAAAAAAAGGATGCTACCAAGAAGAGAATGGCAGAAAATAAAGGTGTTTGTTGATTAGAATAAGTTTTATCAAATAATCATTGAAAACACAGTAAACCAGCAGATTTTCATTCACTTTTCCCTTGTTGTCATCACACTGCGCTGTCCACAGTTTGTCTTTTTCATTTTATTTTCTTGCAGAAAAAACTTAGGTTGAACAACTGAACATATAATAGTGAGACCAATTACTCATTGATAATCGGAATATAGATATTGGGGAAAAAAAATAAGAATTGCAAATAACAACAAAAATAAAAGTTGTCCATTGGATTTGCAGATTACAAAAATTATTTTCAATAATTACCCGCTAATTTTCTTCCTTTTTCAATTTCGTTTCTCTCAGATTTAATTAAGCATTTGATTAAAAACTATGTATCTGGTACAAGAGGTTGGCGAAAAGAGAGAGAAGAAAAGAAAAAAAAAAGGAAAATTACGATTTTGTTAGTAATAGTACAGTGAAAAAA